GAAATCTCTCAGCATTCGAGTTCCAGTCAAAATGGTGGTGAAGTTTTAGGTAGCAGGACTATGTTTTCGGCGTGGACAGTGCTTATGAGGACTCGCAGCTATTAATCAGGGCACTCTATACGATGGGGAATCCCCAGCGGGAGAAACGTATTTGAATTTTGTCTGAGGAAATGTTTTTTATAGCTGTTTTTTCCTGTCACACGGGAGCTATTCACATTGCTGGACGAACTCCGATGGGGAGGGGTCTCACTTACTTGTCGTTGAAAAATGGAATGGTTAATCGTTGCATTTGTCGCTGAGAGAAATTTGCCGCGTCTCGACACGATTAATTCTCGCGGATTTCTTTTTTCACATACGCTGCATGCCTCCTCCCAGTGCCTCTCCCCCACTCCACTCCTCGCCCCGCTCGACGGCAAAATCTTGGTAAAAAAACTGGAAATTCTTCAGAAATTCTGGTGAATAATGTGGTAGGAAGCTGGGAAAAGTTGGGAAGATATTAGGTAGGATGGAAAGGAATGACGTATGGGAGGAAGGAATTTGGGTGGAGGTGGGGTCGTATTTTTCGAAATGTTTCCCAGCTGCAGGACGTACTCTGCTGCTCATGCAATCCCCACTCTAAGCACTGGCAAGGCAGCAAATATGTAGGTGGCTGCGGGTTGATGAAATGCATGACTGGCCTGGAAAGTCTCCATGACCGCTGGACAGCGTTTTCAGGCACTTTACCCCCTCTACACTATAATTTTAATGTTATCATTCGAACTTGAAACAGGATAATGAATGCGTTTCAGGGCAATTTCAGAGCTAAACACAGTCTTTTCAAGTATAAAAGTGGTCAAGTCACCAGTGATCTTCAGAGCTCAAAGTGGAGCATGGAGCAGTTATAGAGTTCCTTTTGAGGGTCCGAAACACTTAATCTTACTTGGTGACATGAAAGATCGCATACTGTGCAGGGTTGGACCTAACTTGCTTCTAAATATAGTTGCTGCATGAAATCACGCCAGTGATACGTATATAGTGGCAGGTAGGGGCGAGTGGCCCGCTTACCGCACGCCACTCGCCCCTATATCACTTTCCGGGCGTCAAATCCCAGATCGACTCCTCCCAATCTCTCCAGCCAAGCATTTCACCCTTCTGGGACGGTGAATTGGTGTCAGATCCGTTTCGAAGGATGAGACACTGTCTTGCTCATGGCTCGCTCCCCAGCGGTCACTGTGTTCACCGCATCGCATTCCCAATGATCAGGGCCCATTGCGATTCCCAGTGAAAGTAGAATGCCTACCGTATCCCAAGGAGGAAGTGATCAAGGACGGGGACTTCATCCTATATCCGTTAACAACTGCTGCAGGGTGTTGAGTCAACTATTTGGGGCCTACCCCACTCTGCTATCATCTGCGCATCTTCCGCGCTACATCGCAAGGTTCGCCCTTCACCTTGGTTTCATTTCTGCGTGAATATGAAGGTTCTTTAATCAACACTTCTTCCTTTGCTTGCCTTCCAAGCCGCCGTACTAGTGCTCATTTTAATTTCTATACAGCTTTGGATTGACATCACACGCTTCGCTAACCACAGGAAATTCAGCTTCCCGTTCCCGTTTAATGGATGCAACAAAAATTTTTACCTGATTTTTGGAGGGCGCCTTTGGTGGAATGTCGTCGTAGATTTTGCTTTCAATGTCGTTGAAGTCTTTTGAGGCATGGACAGCTTTCTCTGTTGCCATATCTTTCTTGTCTAAATGAAACAATGTAGTAGCATGAAAACGGTGGATTAAACGACCATAAAAAGAAATTCGATTGAAGAGCACTGCTCTGTTTTATACAGCAACTGTCCAAAGTTTTAGAACATCTTAGTATGTTGAAAATAAAGTTGCTGCACGCTTTGAAAGCTACGGGGCCAGACTTCAGAAAAATTGCAAAAGCGGGAAGAAGGCTCTCGTCTACGCATACTTCAATGAATCGGAGCGAGAGCTCGTTACTCGCTCGCGAAGTTCACAGCAACCTTTGACCTTATGCTTGGAGGTTTTTTTGAAAATCATATCGCTTAGGTGATGAGGTGACGATCAAGTTTTTACAGCCTTCCGGAATGAAGTTGAAATAACTAAATACGACCTCATCGTTGT